TAAAGAAAATTATTACAGACCTTACATTACAAAAATTTAGTCTTGTTCATGTTTGAAGGTGAAACAGTTACAATGATGTTTTGGCAAGTCTAAGGAGAGAGGAAGTGCCAGTAGGTTTTTAGACTACATGGATAATCTTTGACTGTGACCAGCTCCAGCTGCTTCAGAGACAAGTGAAGAAAAATTTTAAGTTGACAATTACAAAATAACACAGCCACAGGCAAAATTTTTCTCTACCTCCCATCAGTCAGAGGTTATTTAAACTACAGACTCAGGTAAAACAGAAACTACCTTTTACAGCTGCTGGTGTATTTCTTTAATTTTTAGTGTAAAACTGGATATTCCTACCATCCACATCAACATCCTTCTTAAAACTCTGCTATGCTTCTAGCCTCCATCTCCTCTGGTAACAAGTTCTATGTGATAACTGTACCTAGTTTGATCTCCTTTATCAGTTTTAAGTTTTCTCTTTCAAATGCTGACAGCTGTCCTGTTCTTGTATTACAAAAAGAATAGGCACAAGTTCATGATCTTTCTTTTTTACACTATTTGATGGTTAATCCCTAAAAATTCACCATTCTTCCCTTCCTGACAGTTCTGTCAAATCTTCAGTCACTCTTCCAAGAACATGCCTTCTCCTCATGCCTGTTACATTATTTCTGACACAGCGAGACCAGAACTGTATTTTTCCCCTTCTTTCCAAACGAGAAAATATATAATTAATTTTCTGTCCTAGGTAGTATTTCAGATCTGCAAAGACAGAGAAAACAGTAACAGCCTGAGGAGGAAATGGATGGAACAGAATCGGACTAAAAAAGTAATGGAAAAAACACTAATCAACTAATCAACCTACTAAAGGGTTGCAGTGCATAAGAGATGTATCCTATTTCAGCAAAAGACTGAATTTATGGGGGGAAAAATGTGAGATATTCTTTCTCCAAGTAGTTATATAGGTCTTTGTCATCATTGACTGGATAATACGCAAGAAGTGGAGATACAGGTGTAAGATCACACATAAAGCAGGGGGTTATTGTTATTTGAGTAAAGGGAAATCATCAATAGACAAATGCCCATATTTAGATCTCAACAAAGATCATCTTCTGGACAGGAGGAAACATTATTACAGCAGGTCTTGCAGGTACCTTTGGGCCACACCTCTACTTCCCTAAGCTTCCATGTGATAAGGCACAATTTTCAAGAAGACTGGAAATGCAGCCCATTCTTAGCAATTCACAATCTAAAATGAATGAGTTTTTTTTCCATTTCCAAGATAGATTACCAAGGCATATTTCAAGAAACATACATAAATTGTACTGAAATAAGTAGTAAATTTCATTATCAAGAATCATTAAAAAAAGCCAAACTAGCTGACTAATAAGCTCTAACATTACACAAACCTAACTAGTTATTCCAATTATAACTGAAAATATTATCTTCAACTCCAGACAACATTTATACCAATGTTTAACCACTGAGAAAAAACAGACATACAGCAAGCAGCTCTGCAGCATCAGTCCTTGAAAATGTTGGGGTTTATCCAAACACTGGTTTTCATGTGTTTTTGGCCACAAGTTCTAATAATATGCAATATCTATTTTCTATTCAGTCCTATAAGAAATCCCTCATGAAACACTTAAACCTAATTAGAGCTTATCAAAATTACAGAATATGTAACTTCTTTCCAGAATGTTCTGGTTGCATTCTCACATTTACTGTGTTCTACATGTCTTTGCAATTTTGTTGTAATGAACAAGTATGACTTTTAACAGTGATGTTTCACCAAAAGAAATGCTATTCTGTTAGTCTTTCTTTTTATTTAAAGAATAATAAAGTTATCCAGAATTAATCAAGCTCCGTATTCAGAAAAGTGTTTAGCATAACTGGTGGAGAGATGGGAAAAAATGCATACTTTTTTGAAATGACCCAATTAACAAACTAAAACTTTACTCTTCTATGGATTCAGCAAATAGGTAAATAAGAAAATTTAAAAGAATCATTATACTTACATTTGAAAACTATATTAATTTTTAAAAGGACTTACTACAGACAAGGTAATGTGAAGAAAAGCCCAGACCAACACACCATTTTCTCCAAAAGTTTTTTTAAATGGTTTTAATCATGTTTTCAGCCTAGGGTAGCTGGTATGATACATAGTCCTGATTCTACCTAGGATATAGTTCTGGGTAGAGTAGATTCAGGTAGCTCACTGTTAGTGAACCAGAAGATCAAACTTCTCCACTTCACCCTGTCCATGCATTTCCTATACAGTGATAATGTTGAGGTCACAGATCCCTCTGAGTCATTTGAACTCGCTAATCCTGCAGAAAACTAGCACATCCAAAAGTTTTCTACTATGCTTAGTGAATCAAATAATCAAGTCATGTATTAAATCAACAGAGAAAAAAAATCATTGCTGTGTTGGTTTTGGCTAGGGTAATTTTCCTCACAGTGGCTGGTATGGGGCTGTGTTTTGGATTTGTGCTGAACACAGGGTTGATAATATAGACATGTTTTTTTTTTTCATTGCTGAGCAGGGCTTACACAGAGCCAAGGTCTTTTCTGTTTTTCGTACTGCCACGCTGGCAAGGAGACTGGGGGTACACAAGAAGTTGGGAGGAGACACAACTGAGACAGCTGACCCCAACTGACCAAAGGGATATTCCAGACTATATGACATCATGCTCAGTATATAAAGTGAGAGGAAGTAGGAGGAGGGGGGTACATTTGAAGTTATGGCATTTGTCTTCCCAAGTAAGGTTACATAGGATGCATTCCTGCTTTCCTGGAGATGGCCTGTCCATGGGAAGCAGTGAATTAATTCCTTGGTTTGTTTTGCTTGCGTGCACAGCTTTTGCTTTCCCTATTAAACTGTCTTTATCTCAGCCCATGACTTTTCTAGCTTTCACCCTTCCAATTCTCTCCCTGACCCCACGGTAGGGGAGTGAGTGACTGCCTGCATGGGGCTTGGCTGCTGATTGGGGTTAAATCATGACAATTGGCCACACTGGATGGAAGAGTTTGTAGGAACAACACAGCTGACAGGCAACAAGAGCCTCCCCCTGTTAGAAGCAGCTAGATTCATCTCAATTGCCTGGTTAACCACAGTTCAGATTGGAAACCTACCTTCTGAAAGGCAATGCAGTCTAAATGCAATCTAGTGCTGGTTGTCCTTTGATATCTTTCTTAAAATGCTCCCTTCTACATACCTAGGTCAGTTCCTCCTACAGTTTACTGGAAAGAGAATGACTGAACAGAACAGTAGCCTGAGTCATAATGGGGCACCTCCTCCTCCAGTCCCAATGAAAAACAAACAAAGCTCACAATAACCAGGACTCACTAACTCTGGTATGACACTGCAGTCTGGTTGCTCACAAGGACCAAATTAACACATATGCTCCAAATCCTATAGTTTGAGCAACTGCTGTGAAGGCATCCCCTTACTATATTACTGATGTGTAATACATTTAATGTGCTGCATCACATATGTGAGACTGGGAAATATATAAACCATTAACAATAATGAAAAGAAAAATTATGTTCAAGAGTTACTGTCCTCACTTCTGACATCACAGTGAGCAGAACCCAGGGGAAGGGCGGGGGGGGGGGGGAGAAACCAAGCATTCTTGCCTTATTTTCAAAAGGCATACAATACAAACAGCAACATTTATTAGAAGTTCACACAAACCTCAGAAAAAAAGTTTTACAAGTTGCTACAGTGAGGTTTTCTGAAACCTTAGACAGAGTTATGTAAATAACTGCCAGATCAATCAGATTCTTCACACGACACACAAACCATTAAACACAAATTGAGGGCTTAGGTTTAATATAGTGTCCAGCTAACACTGATCATTATTTTATTGAAGGGTTGAACTGCAGTATGGGACATGAATAAACAAGCTTGTTGGATTATTGTTTCCTGCCTCATGACAAAACCATGCTAACTTCAGTGCCTTTGATTTCCAGGTCTTTCTTCCCTTAAAAACATCTGCAAACTCCTGAATCTGGTGGGGGGAAACAACCAACTTTCCAGAAAATCCCAGCAGAATCCCACCCCTGTTTAGTAGGTATCATAGATCTCACAGAGGCTGAGAACAGATTACATAGTCCCACTCAAATTGAAGAGCTGAAGTCACAAGTGACTTGCCATTGATTCAGTCAGTGAACTTCCCATTTCAGTTCTCTTTCCAGACAAATGCGACAAATTAGTACCCTAAACCTAACACACACACTTCCTTTATTCACATGTATTCCCAGTCAGCACCATACATCCTCTCATAAAGAGATACTGAGCAAGATGAGAAACAATGGATCCCCAACAGAGAAATAACAATTCATGGGCATAAATAGCACTCTTTGTATATTTTAATCATAAGGAACAACTGGAATAATAATATCAAACTTTTTTGTCAAACGATGAAAGTGTCTAAAAGCATTTCTGTCAGAGCATACTGTTGTGTCATTTTTCCGGAACACGGCTAATACGTCAGAGTAAACAAAAAGTTATTACTTTGCATTGAAGGCCTTTCCTCCTTCCATCACCTCATCCCCTCCCACCTTCCCAGGCTTTCCTCCACGCCCCTCTTTCCCACCAATCACCTCAACCCCATCCACACGTCTCATTGCTCACCCCACACTTGTCCCGTTTTCCCCTTCCTCATGAGCCCATTACATCCCTGCTTCATCCCTCTCACACCCACATCGCCCTTCCCTTCCCCAATTCAGCCCCTATCCCGCCGCCGCACCTCCTCGTCGCCTCCTCTCCCTGCTGCAGCCTCCCTGCCCCCAGTGGAATCGGTAGCCTCCGACAAGCGCGAGCGCTCCCCGACAACCGCAGCGCGCGCCAGGCCCGGTCACTTCCCAACCCCGCGCACATAATGAAGCCCGCGCACACAATGAAGCCCGCGCAGCCTCCTCCCCGCCCCGCCTGCGCCACGCACTGGGGCAGCGGCACTCGGCCACTTCGCCGAAACAGCCCTTCCCGCCGCCCCTGCCCCACTGACCATCGCTGCGCTTGATCTCCACGTAGATCCCTATCTGAACCTTGCTGAAGTTGGCCGCTGCCATGGCTTCATGGGGCGGCCGGGGATATCGGAGGAACTGCCGGCCGGCGCACAGCAGGCAGTGAGGATGTGCACAGTAGCAACGGTGGCGATGGCAGCACCGACCGCGGCGGCTTCGAGAGGGCGGGTAGGCGGAAAGGGGGGGAAGGGCGGAGAGAGAGAAAAGACGCCAGCCGGATACAATAAGCACTGGTAGCTGCAGCGCCTGTGCAGCACGCCGCAGCATCACGACAGGCCCGGCTCACAGAGGAGGCGGGGGCAGAAGCGCTGCCGCGGTTCATCCTCCGCCCTTCGCAGCACCTGAGCGGAGCTGGCACAAGATGGACACCGCCACTCCCCTGGGGCTGCCTTCCCGCTCGCTTTGGCCTGCCCTGGGAGATACTCGTCCCACGTCCAGGCTGCCTTTTCGAGCCTCTCCTCTTGACCCTGTCCCTGACTTAAAAACACATACGTGCACCTATTTAGCACTAGATGGTGACTAAGCTACCTCGAAGTTTTAATGTAATAGCTTTATCTACCAAATATCTACTCATAAGGCTCCTGCGTGTCAAGTAGAGTAGCTTAGAAGCATGCTTTGTACTTGCTCCCCAACCTGCCAGCATCCCTTCAGTCTATTAGGTATTGATTCAAAGAAATCCTTAAACAATATGTAAAGTGTTATAAGTTAGTATAAGAATTTAGACAACTCAATTCCAATTAAAAATTGATAAATTTATTAAGCAAGCGATAATAAAGCAAACAGCGCTGGGTGGTCTGGGGGGCAAGTGCCCCGCCTGAGACACACACACATTGTTTGAAAACCGTGCTTTTTGTACCCTTTCGATATCAGTTGTTGAATATTCATTCATTGTCCGTTTGTTGCCTTAAAAGGTAATTTTCCTGCTTTGGAGGTGGGTGTTACCTTTTGACTGGTTGTTACTTATCTCCCCTGGGCTCGTACAGGGGGGTCTTGCATCATCCCCACATTGCAAGGCATGGAGGACCTCTCTCTGTATCCACATGGCACAGAGAAATACATTTTTATTTATAATTTGTTCCCTGTTCCCGGCCGCAAAAGATTCCCAGGTGTTAGGTCCAGACAGGACCCTTCACCTTACAAACTCCGCGGTACGCCTAGAAGTTAGTAAATATACAGAAATAGTTCTTTTGTTAATACCCCCTTTTTATTTTAATTTGCTTGGAATAAAACCGGTGCCTTTACTTATCACATAAAGTACACTTTTATTACTGCCGGGAAGATGCAGGGGTTTCAACTCTCCTGTGCATTCTTATTACTATAGAGTAGTTACATAAAGTTTTATCATTTCAAACAGGTTAGGTTTCCCCCACCCCTCTTCTGTCTCCCTTGCGATGCTACATGCTAGAAGTCTTTCCCACTTTCCCTGACAGTCCCTTTTGTTTATGTAAGCTAGCTTTATCTTAATTGCCCACAATTTGGGCAGTAACCTTCTTTCAAGTAGTTACAATTTTGCAAAGTCACACTTAACATAGCTAAATTTTACTAACATAGCTAAATTTTTATTCTATTTTATCTTGGTTTTATTTCACTTCCCTCCTTTTCTTTTAACTAATGCAAATTCTTTTGCATTACCCTTTGTACAGTCCAGAGCACATATACTTGTTGCACTATGGTCTTAATCTTCCACCACATCCATAGAATGATGATTGTCAGAAGGAAAACTGTCAGCATTAAGACCAAGACAGGGTGGACCAGGAAGTTAAACAGCTGGGCTGCAGTGGGTGATTGTATATTGTGAATCCGAGAAATCCAGTAAAGAAACTGCCCAGAAACTTTTGGTCTTTTGAGCAGCAAAGGTATTTATTTGACGAAGTCCGGAGCAAGCGTGGTTTGAACCACAAAGCTCTTGCTCCAGGGTAGTGGTACAAAACACAGTAATTTATACAGTCTAACTTCTATGATTACAATATTTTACATACATATTCATATGACTGCAACATCTAATTATGCATATTGATAATAGGTGGAGTATAGGTGGAGCGCAGGTAGAGCTTGGGGTACATCCACCTTTCTTCATCATTGGGGCTGGGGTCTCTGTAGTCTTCCTCAGTGTGACCTCTCTAACTTTCTGTTGTTTTTGCCCCAACCACTGAAGTTTGGAGAGAACCTTGGTTTTAGGCCTATTCCACCTATTCAAATGTCTACCTTAGCTTACTTTTGCCCTGGTTTATTACCTCCAAGCCCATTGTATAATGCTTCTAACATTCTTCTCTAGTTTAGGTCCACTGAACTGAACAGAACAGAATTTCCTGTAACAGCATGAGCAGAGCAGATATGGAGGGGAGAGTTTTAGGGGAGAGTCTCCTCAGAGCAGGATACCTCAGTTAACTCTCTTTAGGCCTTGCTCTCTTTCAGTCCCCCCTTTTCTTCAGATTTATGAATTCCTTCGTCAAGTTCGAAAGGAATCCGATAGGTGTGCATCATTGCCCACATTATCTGTGTCCTCTTGATTATCATACTTAATTTGCACCAAAGCCAAACATTCAAGAGGGATAGTAGGATCATAATTACCACCATGATTAATACTGGGTGGACTAAATAGTGGAACACTTGTGATGCCCTAGGGGAATATCCTGTAAAAATATCCCACCAGTGATGTTCTCCCACTTGCTCTACTTTAGTTAGGATGCTTTTTATACTTGTAGTGTCATGTTCCGCTTGCCAAAGCATGCATTGGGTTGTTCTGTTCACTTCCTGGATCAGCTTTTCTATGTTAGGATGCTTGAGCATTGATTTGAAGAGATCAATATCCATCTCTATCTGCAATTTCGGTACATCATGATACAAAGCATCCTACTGGTGACCGGTCACTAGTTGTGTCCCCCAGGGATCAGTGCTGGGACCAGTCCTGTTTAACATCTTTATCAATGATTTAGATGAGGGGATTGAGTCCATCATTAGCAAATTTGCAGACAACACCAAGTTGGGAGGGAGTGTTGACCTGCTGAAAGGCAGGAGGGCTCTGCAGAGGGACCTGGATAGGCTGGAGAGTTGGACTGATTCCAACAGGATGAAGTTCAACAAGGCCAAGTGCCGAGTTCTGCACTTTGGCCACAACAACCCCCTGCAGCGCTACAGGCGGGACACAGAGTGGCTGGAGAGCAGCCTGGTGGAAAGGGATTTGGGGGTGCTGATTGACAGGAGGCTGAACATGAGCCAGCAGTGTGCCCAGGTGGCCAAGAAGGCCAATGGCATCCTGGCCTGCATCAAGAACAGTGTGGCCAGCAGGAGCAGGGAAGTGATCCTTCCCCTGTACTCAGCGCTGGTGAGGCCACACCTTGAGTATTGTGTTCATTTCTGGGCCCCTCAGTTCAGGAAAGACATTGAGGTGCTGGAACGGGTCCAGAGAAGAGCAACGAGGTTGGTGAAGGGACTTGAGCACAAGTCCTATGAGGAGAGTCTGAGGGAGCTGGGGTTGTTTAGTCTGGAGAAGAGGAGGCTCAGGGGTGACCTCATCACTCTCTACAACTACCTGAGAGGACGTTGTAACCAGATGGGGGTCAGTCTCTTCTCCCAGGCAATCAGCAATAGGACAAGAGGGCACAGGCTTAAGCTCTGTCAGGGGAGGTTTAGGTTGGATAGTAGAAAGAAGTTCTTTACAGAGAGAGTGATCAGGCATTGGAATGGCCTGCCCAGAGAGGTGGTGGATTCACCGTCCCTGGAGGTTTTTAAGATGAGGCTGGATGTGGCACTGAGTGTCATGATCTAGTAATCACAGTGGGGTTGGATCAAGGGTTGGACTTGATGATCTCGGAGATCTCTTCCAACTCAGGTAATTCTATGATTCTATGATTCTATGATTCTATAATCAGCCTCAATCAGTTGCTTAGTGGTTACAGGGACAATATAATCAAAATCACAACCTATGATTCGGATGAAGTTACACAAAAATTAGTACCATTCATTACTTCATGGCAATTATCAATAGTAAGGTTAACACAGAGGATCCTAACACAGGAACATCCATTTCCTACATAGTATACTTGTGATTGGGTCTGATGGTGGGGAAGCATCTCAAAAATACATACACTATCTTCAGTATCTAAGCACAAATCTTCATTTTCTACAACTGCGTTTTCACAGATATATCCTAACTGTCCTTTGGGAATACATGCTTCTGTACTGATTGCCATTTATTCCTGATGCAGTCATAGCTTGCCCAAACATTATGGCCTATGGGCCTTATGATGTGTCATGGTTCAACTTTTAGCAAGGAATTTTTTCTTTCCCTTCCCCCCTGACCCTGTGTATAGGCCATCTGGTAGCTCTCAGGTGAACAAAAGAATCGGCTCTTCAACTAATTGCCCAGAGATTAGTCTCCTAGGAAATGGGCAGATGAAGGAGCTAATGTTTACTTTTTTCTCTCGTCTCCTGGGCAACAGGGAGAGGAGGAGTTTTTGGGGGGCTGAGGCTGGAACTCAGGTTGGAAGGGGAGGCTGGTGTGCCGTGGGGTGGGGATGGGGATGGCAGCACACGTCGTTGGAGGAGAAGCTTGCTGCTGTCTCTCTCTGCCCTGAGCCATTGATAGCTGCAGTTTTTTTGCCTAAAGCGAATTCTGACCAGCTGAAGATCGTGAGTTTTCTTCCATTGGGAGAACTTTCTGTTTTGCCAATGTGTGTTTTGCCAGTGTGGGAAGGGAAGGGGAACTGAGTTTTTTCTTTTTGATTTTTTTTTGTTTGTTTGTTTTTTCTCCAACATACCCTGGAGGGTGTTTTCTTTCTCCCCCCCCCATGTGGCGACAACCAGGGATCTCCCAGCGCCACCTGGTGATGGGCACCAGACATTACAAGTTCTGCACCTCCAGTGATCCAACAGCGCCACCTGGTGACTGCTATAGGACACAAGTTCTGCATCTCCAGTGACCCGACGTCGCCCCCTGCTGACTGTGGTTGGAATTGCACCAAAGGGTGCAAAATTGAACTGTTTACTTTTCCTTTTGCTGGTTTATTGGTTTGTTTTTGAAGGGGATTGTTTGTGGGTATAGG